TGTTCCCAGGACGGTCTGTGCTGTGACGCAGTACCTCGCTCCCTCCTCCAGGGCGTTGACCTCCAGCTCTGCCTGCTCAGCTGACACTGAGTAGAGTTTAGCCTGGAGAGAGAGAGAGAGAGAGAGAGAGAGAGAGAGAGAGAGAGAGAGAGAGAGAGATGGAGTCTGGGTTTTTCAAGCAATTAAACAAATGCTGTTAAACATCTGCCCTGATGTCGTTCTGCTTTCTGCTCTTTCACTATGTTGAGCAACAAAATGTTTCAAATGTAAAAGAGAAAGACGAGCACAGAGCAAGAAAGGATGAAGATGGAAACAGGAGAGGACGAGATAAACATGAAAACTCTGACCTGCCGCTCATCGCCTGTTTTCCACACCGTCACCATGACAACGGCAGTGAGCGGAAGCTTCTCAAAAACCACGTGAAGACCCTGGACCGCTGCCGACACCTTCATCTCTGGGACCATGAGGACGGCTGCACACAGGATTCACAGGATTCACACCCTCACTTCTTCATTCGTTCATTTTCATGCTCTGACCACAGACTGTAAATGAATAGCAGGCGTCTCCACTTCCTCTTGTCTCTGATCGGTTTCACACTGACTGCGTTTCACAACATCGCATCTCAGAAATGTTTCGCTCAAGTTGAAATATTTCAAAGTGGATGACGTGTAGTTTGCGTCTTTGACTTTGTATGTAGGCTTATCGTGTTTGGTGTGAACGCTCCGTGAGGGCGCGGCCTCCTGTGTCAAATGTGAAGCAGATTCCACAGGTCAGAGTTCACCGAAGCTTTAGTCCAGTGTGAGAGTGACCAGTTGCTTACTGTCTCTGCGGTTGAAGGGTCGGTGGAGCTCCGCCCAGGCTGAGGGCTGCGACCCGCACTGCGCTCTGACGTGGACGTTGTAGTCGGAGTCGCTGCCCAGGTCAAGGGTCAGGTCGCAGTGTGTGTGCTGAATCAGCTGGCATTCAGGAGCGTCCACCCAGCTGCCGTTCAGCTCCGTCAGCTCAAACTCCCTGAAGGGAACCAGACACACAGAGATTTAACTTGTTCTCGTGCTTATGCAGTTTTTTCTGTTTTCACGTCGTGCGTCTGACCCGTCCACACGATATGAACACGATATCTTCAGAAAGGCTTGAGGGGATTTCTTCAAACGTGGTACAAATGTTCAGTTTGACTCAAAGATGAACTGATTAGATTTCAGAGGTCAAAGGTCGCAGTGACTTCATAAATGTCTGTAATAAAACGTATGGAGGCTGAGACTGACTCTAGTTTTACTGTAAATAAAAGCACGACTGGTTGTGACTGTGTACGTTGAGATTAACTACGCTCCCGGCACAGCTGAGCGGAGTTGGTCACTCAGCTCTGCCTGGATTCAAAAGGCAGCAGGAGGGAGGGTGTGGGGGACCGGTGGCCCCGCCACCCGCCACAGTGGGAGGGTTCCGCCCCTGGTTCACCCCCTTTAATCCAGCAGAGCTGATTGGCCAACTACCCTCAGCTGTGACAGTCTGTGGAGCTGCTCCCTGAGCTCGTCCACACTGAGACTGAGAGACACTGATGCTCACTTTAAGACAAAGACGTCCAAACAGCCACAGGTATGTACCTGAACTTAATCCAAGTAGAAACTCCTGAGTGACTAACGCACAGAACAGACACACCCGCTGAAATTATTGATTAGAGCGGCTGTTTGATTGAAGTCTTAATTAAATCATGTAGAAACACCCTCAGGTTAATTTCAGCTGCATGTTTCACATATTTCATCCTGTCAAACCACTTCGCTGCAAAATGTTCCTGATGAAACTTTTACTACTGCAGCTTCAGTCACGAACAAACTCCATTATGACGTTTGTTGGTTCAGATCGACGACACATTTCCAGATGGAGCTTTTCTTTGGGTTTTTATTTCGCAGGTTGATGTTGTTCTTCTTGTCCATTATGTTTAGTTCATCAAGTCGATCAGGCTAATTTAACACTGACTGAAGTGTGTGTCAACATTCTGGATTATAACTCAAATATCAACACAAAACACAACGCAATTATTTTTAGATTCAGTGTGAGTCACACTTTCTGAGCATATCAATATATTAGATGTGCATCACAAGGAAACATCCAGAAACCCAAAGGATCATATCATCATAACTCCAGAACAGAACCTGCCTGACATAAGTTTCCTTTGTTGACAGTCCAGTGGACGTGACGTGGTGCGTCCGGTCGTCCACAGCGATACGGAACTGTTGATAGTAAGTTATAAATAAAGGGATCTTTTTGTGAGCAGGGGGCGGTGTTCAGAGTCTGACGACACGAGAACAGATCTTTAGGTTTTTGTGTATTTCCTCGTTGTTCTCCAGGTTTTCTAGGACTGAATATTTCACTAACATGTTACTGCACTGTCAGGTTACAGTGCAACTGTACTTACAGTACAGTATCCCACAAAGAGCCGAGAACAGAGCCCGCAGTTTAATAACCAGCAGCTCAATGAAGTTATCGAACAAACAAAAGAATGTATTTATTTGGGACTCAGTGGCACACTAATACACAGTTTGTGCTGTAGTGAATAGAAATAATAACGACTTACCCCTGGAACTGGACCGAGTAGAGAATGGAAGTGTTGCATGAAGCCTGCAGGGGGCGCCACCTCAGAGTGTGTCTCATTTCTGTAGAGTCCATGGAGACTGCGTCGGGAGCCGACAGCGTCCAAACCCCTGCTGTCACAACGAGCTTCTATTAAAAATCTCTCACACGCACTGACTGAGAGGCTGCACAGCAGGAATCATGGGAGAACACGTGAGAACCTCACGACCGCTCACACATGGAGCTCATCGTGTTTGGACGTTTCCCCAGAAGCCATGAATCATCGTCAGAGGACCTTTTCCTGCTGAGCTAATGGACGCTAACACAACACCGAGGCTACGTCCTCACGACTGATTTTATGATTTTATGTTTGAAAACTGCTTTTTAATCCTCGTCCACACAAACACGGATGAAAACACATATCACGTGACCGCTCACGTACACAGGGCACGTGTGTGCCGGTGTCAACACAAACTATTTGGTGATTAGTCGCAGATTGTTCTAATAACATCTGGTCTGTCAACAGCTGTTTGTAAAAGAATGTAGGTGAGCAGCAGCTGTGAGCAAAGACAGAGTCAGTAACACGACGCTCGTGTTCTGAGACTCTGGAGTCATGTGGACGTCAGAACAATCACAACACAACGCATCATATCCTACATTTAGTGATTCTACAATGTGCTTGTTGCTCAATGATTTCCTCGACGTGTTGGAACGGTGGGAAGTGAAAGTGACTCCACGGTGAACTCACCATCCAGCAGGACCACGAGCAACATCTGCAGCAGACTCACGGTCCTCCTCGGGCTCATGACCACGCAGTTAGCTCCAGAGGAAGAGGAGGACGAAGTTCTGTTCTCTGGTCAGGTCCACCATGTCCAAAACCACCTGCAGGAGAACTGTCCCAGAAAACAGCATTTAATCCAGAGTCCTGTCCAGAAATCCCTCTGAAATCCTGGAATCCACGGTGAAGGTGTCAGAGTTTATTTCTCCCTCTGAGCTGTTCGAACACACGAGAGGCAGATTTCACATGTGAGCGTCTGAAGAGCTGCCGAGCGTCAGGATGCTGGATCGTGAGCTGCAGAGCCGGTCTGACCTGTTGTCAATACACTCTGGGTGAAGTGACAGGTTGACCTCATAACACACCTGGTGATGTGTGTGTGTGTGATGCTGTGTGTTGGTGTGTGTGTGTTGGTGTGAGTTGAATCACTGTCCCAGAACATATTTCACTCTGATCCAGGTTCAGTGTTTATCATATGAAAACCCACGGATCCACACGATCACAGACTTTTAAGAAACGCTGTTTGTGTCGAACGTCTCCAGCGGCTGAAGAGTTCAGGAGGAGGATGAACCTGCTCACCTGTCAGTCACTGTGAGCGGAGCTCAGCCTGTAACTGTAAAACCAGTTCTTCCGTATGGTGACACACTGCAGCTTTCTCATGTTGACATGTGGAGTATATCTGATTTAATATCTTCTGCGTTATATCACAATGTGATTCATCAGTAACTGCACCACATCACACACACTCATGAATATCAGTCCTCTCAACATCTAGATCCACAAATGATTCTCTGACAGATCAGTGGAAACTAAGCAGAGCCTCCTCAAACAATGTGAGGGATACAGAGGGATGTAAAGTGGTTTAGTAATAAAAGACACGTCTGTAATAAGACAAATACTTTAAAAATCAATGATCAATACACAGATTCATATCAATATTTGATTTAATACAATAACAATAGTACAAAGACATAAGAACACATACATGTGTTTATATTCGTAGTTACTGTGGCTTTAGACTTTAGTTTCCTCTGTGAGTTTCAGGCTGATCTTTATTTTCAGCTTCATTCAGAAGAGAAGAGACTTTGGACTCTGATGATGAGCAAACATTAACGGTCACCAGCCATAAAACTATAAAACACAACCTCCCTGAAACCTGCAGACACACAACACATCTGTCTGTCGCTGCCCGAACACATTCATGTGACTGTCAACGTTGGTGTTTCTCCCGCTGATTCATTTACCCTCCATGTTTTCAAGGTCACACAGATGTCAGAAGGTCACACGTCATTAATCTGCCAAAATCCACAGTTTCAGATTAACGGCACTGATGACGTTTACGTGTCATTTCTAGGGCGAGGGTGAACAGTGGGGGAGGATCTGAACACTTTCTGGACTTTATAGTGTTTCTCGTCCTTTAACTTCCTAAAACACATCACAGCCGACTTCTCCTTTTCTCAGCTGCAGGACGAATGTGAGGGATGAACTTCAAATGGAGGTTTGTGGAAGTGGAGCGTCAGATGAAACCGAGCAGCCGGGGGGGAAACGTCAGCGCAGTAAAAATCTTTATCTTAGTTTCATGGTAACATCCTCTCACTCGATTTCAGTTTCTATTTCAGCTCCATGCAAACACACATGAACCTTATTTCAATGAATTGCACAGAATTACAGAATTCTTAGTGTTTGGTAAATTGTCTGCACACATATCAGTCGCACACAGTTCAGTTTCTTGCCCGAGGACACTGTCATGCATGAATGAGGAAGACCGAGGGGGTCAAACCTCCGACCCTCCGGTCAGATCATCACAGACAGAGGCCAAGAATACCGGCTCTGAAGTGAGACAATCATCAGCCGCAGTGACATCGACACCGAGCCGCCACAGGATCTACACAACGACATCAGAATGTCGGTCGGACTCGATCAGAACTGAAGACGATGGAACAGCAAATATCTGAGGTTCCCACATGCAAATGGAAAAGGTGCCGAGGCTGAAGGGAAAGAATGAGGTCCGAGCCATCGACACATACCAGCTGATAATAACTCTGATATCAAGTCACTATGCTCGGAGGCTTTGACCCCAAGTCCAGCACCCTGAGGCTGGACACGAAGAGTAAGGACATGTGAGGGTCACGGCCACCAACCAGGATGAGACAACCAAGACTCAGTATCGCCATCAGACGGTAAGGAAGATGATCTGCCAAGCGAATACTTCAGGCAGCAGAATGATGATGATGAAGAGGAAGAGGAGGAACCATCATGGACGGACAAGGCCCTGAGCACAAAGGACGTTTCTCCAGGACGTTGTTTGTGTTGTTGGACTTTCGTTGCCACAAGACAATTTCTGCAGCTTTGTTTTCTGTAGCTTTCTACGTCAAGGACAAGCAGGACTGTTTCAGGTTATCTGAGGTGTGTCTGAAGACTCACTGTCATCATCACCGTGATCAAAACAGGTGGGCGGTGCGGGGGGAACAACAGGGAGCGGCTCCCAGCGGTTTATGGCCCCTGTCAGAGTGTAAAGTCCTCGTGTTAGAGCCACAGACGTCTCATTAACAAGAAGTACGGAGACCAGAGCGTCCAACGATCCAAAGTGAAGCCCTGACTCCAGGCCCTGTGACCTCTTCACATCGTTACACGTTTTAAAGGCTTCTGTTTGTGTTTCACTCCCTCGGAGGGTCTCTGCTGTTTTATCTCAAGAGTTTTCTGGAAAAGTTGTCATCATGTCGACGGCTGTGGAAGCGACCGGTTTCATCATGTGCATTTTCAGCTGGCTGGTCGTCGGAGCCTCGCTGGCCAACGACTCCTGGAAGATATCCTCCGTCTCCGGCTCCGTCATCATCTCGCAGAGGCAGTTTGAAAACTTGTGGCACTCCTGTGCTGAAAACAGCGCCGGTATCGCAGAGTGTCGGGACTTTGAGTCGCTGCTCGGCCTCCCCAGTAAGAGAGATTTACCTACTGAGATCTAAAAACTGTTTCTATATTTTGCTGTTTTGTTGCTAGAAAAATCGAGCTTAAGCAGAATTATTTGAAGGTTTTCGATGTTTGTTTTTGTTTTCAAATTTTCAAGAATGTAAAGGCATCGACAAGCTATAACACACATGAGATGGAAACTAGAAAAATTAGACTTCGTTCTAGAACAAACCTCGTTAACCGTTCTTTACACGCCCCCTAAATTATTGTTGTTTTAGATCTTTATGCTGATTCTGTGGAAGAAATCAAATCTGATTCGTTAAAGTCAGTGTCCGTCCTTTTCTACGTGAGGTCAGAAAGTTCCTGAACGAGAAGCAGGACTGTAGCAGAGTTCAGGACTTAAACGTTTTTGTCCTCAAACATTTAAATATTTTTTTTATGTGGTAAAGTCATTAATGTCTCATCGCGCCTGTGGCACAGAAACTAGAGCCGTTTTCTGAGTCAGTCGTCTAAAGGTTGGATTTTACAGCCAGAAGTTTCCCGCCTGAAGATGAACTGAAGGTCAGTCAGTGGTCGGACAGAACACGACCTTCTCATCGTCTTCACGTGATTCTAAATATCTTCATTTTATAATTAATCCATGTTGAGTACATTTTTTTTAGTGAATTGCTTTTCCTTCCTCGCTTATCTTCTGGCAGCCATTTTGAGCTTCCTCCTCCACTGACAGTAAAATGGAGGGAAAGAGGAAGTCAGTTTTGTGAAGTCATTTACTTTTACACCATTGTGCACAAGACTCTGTGTCAAACCCCAAATTCTCCAAACTTCAACCCATGTTTTGTCATCGTATTTTAAAATCTTGATATGATTAATATTCTGTAAGTTAAGAAGTAAACCTGGTTTTAATGAGCTCCAACACACAACACTTGGTTTGACGGACCAGAGAAGACACGAATCTGTGTCCAGGCAGCGGTCGATGTGAAAATAGAACATGAATGGGAACCTGTGTCAGATCAGATCAGATGAGCCTTTACTGATCCTCCGCAGAGGAAATTCACAAATGTCAACATCGCTCTTGATATATGTCGTGTGTCACATATATGCTGTCCATGATTCGGTGCGTTGACGTGTTCAGTGGAGACGTGGTAACATGTTTGCTTCTCTGCAGTTTACGTGCAGGCGTGTCGCGCCCTTATGATCATCTCTCTGCTGCTGGGCCTCTGCTCCATGATCGTGGCTCTGCTCGGAGTCAAGTGCATCAAGATCGGCTCAGCCACCGACCAGTCGAAGGCCAAGATCGCCTTCACCGGAGGAATCCTCGCCGCCCTCGCCGGTAAGTGGACCGAAGCTCAGACGGAAACATGCAACACGTCCTGTTTGGCTGCTTGTCGATGGTTAAATGTGTGTTTGCAGGTCTGTGCTGTATGATAGCTTGTTCCTGGTACGCCTACAGAGTCGTTCAGGACTTCAACGACCCCTTCTACGGTGGCGTGAGGTGAGTGGACCAGTCACGTGTTCACAGCTGTTTCATATCTTAACAGCGGTTTCATGTGTTCATGGCTGTTTCACTCTGACACGTGTTCACAGGTTCGAGCTGGGTACTGGTCTGTTCCTGGGATGGGGAGGAGCCTCTCTGTTCATACTGGGCGGAGCTTTTCTCTGCACCGCCTGCAGCCGAGCATCAGCTGGAGACAAGAAAAGGTAAACACACACATTCTCTCTGATTCAATGAAGATGATGAAGACGATGATGAAGATGAAGACGATGATGAAGATGATGACGATGATGAAGATGATGAAGATGATGATGATCTCATTGTGTCTCTTGTTTTTCAGAGGTTACTATGGAAAACCACCACAGAAGGTTTACACCGTAACAGCAAAGTCAGATCCAGATACAGCCAGAGCCTACGTCTAATGACACACACACACACACGCACACACACACACACACAGACTGTACTACCTGTGCTCTTATATTGAAGGTTCCAACCTGTAACCGTCCTGATTATTTTAAACTGTTATAACAAAGATTTCTCATTGTTCAGGTTGTTTGAAACTACACAAACACACACTTCTTCACAAAGTGCCCTCTGCTGTGCGTCCGGCAGCATTTTGACCGATGTCTTAGGAACTAGAAAGTTTTTTTAAAGAGTTTTGTGGTGAAATTAAGAAACGTTGGGAAGAGATGATTGTTGCTGAGACGTTCTAACGTTTGTTTAATTCTGTTTGGAATGAATCTCATTCTCTGAATAAAGTTTGTATGACAAAATAATGAAGTGGGTGTTTTTGTATGTGCTTGTTTGCAGTGTGACATTTTAATTTTGTTCCATCACAAACGCAGTTGAAGGAACATTGAGAGTTTATTGTTGTAATAACTGAAGCTGATGGTGATCAACAGTGAGTCACAGTCGGGGATGAACAACAAGGTCCCGACCTCTTCTGTGTCGGTTCAGTTCAGTTTGACTTCACATCATGAGGTCGAGACCTGAACAGATTCAGAATCAGAAATACTTTATTAAACCCGGTCGATAAATTCAAACGTCACAGAGCTCCTGAGAAAGAGGAGAAAGAGAAGAAAGCAAGTATAAATA